CATACAGAGGAGTCGGAGTCGGGGAGTCGGAGTCGGAAGATTTAGAAACAGGAGTCGGAGTCGGAGCATTTATCTACCGACTCCACAGCCCTGCTTAGCAGTGTTAACATTTGTGTGTCAGTACTGGTGTTCTCAGAAAACATGCTTATAGTTGCCTACAGGAATATGTTACCAAGTGGTTCTTTGCTTACGCTGATCACAATCTATGGTTCATCTTGGTTTATTCTTCCACGCCCATAAATCTATGCTAACTTGGTGTGGAAACTTCAGCTGGTGGTAATATCATAAAAAAATAATTTTCATCGCACCTGTCATGATCTGTCGCGTCTCCTAATCAGACCAGCAGAGGTCTACTAATTCTCCCCAGCTATATTTCATTGTTGATGTTCTCCTGATTGTTCTCCACCTTAATGTTTTAACCTTGTACACCTCTCTCTCATCAATAATAACTGTGTATAAATGTACCAGTTTTCATGTTGTTCCCCAGCTTGATCATTGTCATCATATGTAAGGTGTGCTGTATTCCCCAGATAAAGTTCTCCTCTATTCCAAAGCTGCTGCATCAGGGTCATATCTTGCCTGACCCAACACACGCAACAGAGTAACTGAGCTCTGTAAGTGACCCAGCAGCTTTTCCCATAAGCTGCTCAGACTTTACTTGTCCATCTGCTCCTTGGTGCCCGCACCTGGGTTCTTCTGAGGATTTTCATTGCTCCCTCACTCACCAATCCACTGAGCAACAGCGACTTGCATGAGGTGGAGGATACCTGGGACTCCCCCTGCCTGGAGTTACACTTAATCTGGTTCGGTAGCAGAAAGCCTGGGTCTTGTGGATCCGGAAAACTTCAAAGACCTACTGCCCGAACTGCTACTTCCAGAGTTTGACCCTTCCACTCCTTTAGAGAGGACCTCTACCAGGGTTCAGAGAAAGAGCTGGAGGAGAAGGGCAAGATGCCAGCACCAGGTAGTGTCTAACTTGCCTGTCGGCTTTCTGTGGCCAGTGCCTGCCGCTCCTCCCATCACCTCTCTGCTGCTTGCTACCGATCAGATAGATAGATGCCTGAAACTCCTCAACTGGCTCCTTTTGATGGCAAGGAGCAGCGGCTCTACTTTTAGCCCCTCTCGAATGTCTAAGCTTCTCACCCTATTTCTAAGACTGAGTCCAGACACCCTGTGTAGGAAACTCATTTCCCCTGCTTGTATCTGCTATCGCATTCTTTTGGTCAGCACCCAAAGCTCAACTGGTAATCGAAAGCTCGGGGATCATCCTGACTTCCTCCGTGACTCCTCCACCACCACCCCGGCATGGCAGATCCCGGCCAGGCCCCCACCTCTCGGTCTCTAGGAAAGGGAGGGGACATCCGCCATGCCCCCTGGCTAGCCTTCAGTCCCCCTGGCTACGGCTCGGTGGTCACCTGCGAGTCCTCCGGCTTCGGCTCGGTGGTCGCCTGCAGTCCCCCTGGCTTTGGCTCGGGGATCGCCTTCGGTTCCGCCTGCGGCACCTCGTCGGCTGGCTGCAGTCCCGCCTCCGACGCCTCGTTGGTTGCCTGCGGGTCCCCCTTCTCTGACTCATCAGTCGCCTATGCCTTAGCTGGCGGCAGCTGTGTCTTTGCCTGCTGCGGTTGCTGTTCCCTCTTCCCCTCTGCCAGTGTCCCCTTCATCTTTCTCCTCGCCCCCTTCAACGTTCCCTCCTGCTCCTCCCTTCCGCTCACTGGGGGTCCCTTCAGCTCAGGCCTCGCGGTCGCCTGCTGCCCCTGTGGCTTCCACCCCTCACCTGCTGGGGTACCCTCCAGCTCCCCGTTTACCCCCACCCTGTATTTCCTGGCCCTCTACCTTTGTGCCCCCTGTGTTTGCTCCCCGTCCCTCTGTGCCTTTGTTTCCTTCTGGTCCCTTTGTGCCTACTGTGGGTTTGTCCCCTGGTGTGGTCCCCTGGTCCCGCTTTTCATATTTTGGTGCCCCTGTGTGTGTCTGCATTCCCTGTCGTGTGTCGGCTGTTGTCTGAGTTGGTCTCCTTGTGTCTGTTTTGTGTGTCTGTGCTGTTCCCCGTATTTCGTTGATGTGTTTTGCTTTTGTTTCCCCAGGTTTCGTCGTGCCCCAGGTCTCGTTTCTCGCTCCCCTTAGGCACGCCCATAGTTCGCGCCTTTGGGGGGGGGGGGGAGCAGTTCTGTCATGCCCTGTTCGTCCGATCGTCCTGTGTGCCATGCCCCCTCATCTACCCCGTGTGGATTCCCCATGTTCACCACCTGTTTCCTGTTGCTGTCATTAGTTCAATGTATTTAGTCCGCGTTTCAGTTTGTTTCCCCAGTCCGGTTATTAACCTTACGTGTGTTTTGGAGTGTGTTACCCCATGAATAAATCCCTTTTGTTAAGTATCACCGGCTTCCTTCGCCTGCTTCTCTGTGCCGATTGTGACAGGCAGCATATGGACTGATAGGGCTGCTATATTTTATGAATTTGAATGATGATTTAAGTGACCAAACTGAAAAAGGCCACGCAAGTGAATCTGAACTGGACTGACACCAAGATTCAGTCACCATACATACATACATACATAACCAGATTCTACGTTTTCACTTTTGTCATTTTTAATTCCATCTCCTCTTCCATCCTCATTTCAGTCATCTCTGACTGTGTTCATGGACTCTCCATCAAGGCTGAAGTGCATAATTTCTTGACCTGGGACCAAATTCTGTCAATGGGGCCCCAAAATGAGGATGACAGTCTCTCCTGCCCATTCCCCACCCTGCCCCCACCTCTTCCAGGCTGGGCCCAGGACAACTTTCCTGGGTCCCCCCCAGATGCTAGTCCTATTCTCCATCACCATCTTCAGTTGCATCGTTATTCCCTCCTCCACACGTGCCTTCAGCCCTGCTCCAATTTCATTCCAAATTCTTCTCACCCTTATACATCTAGTCTCAGTTCTACCTACAGCCCCCTTGGCCCAGCTGGCTACATGAAAATGTACAAGTGTATGCAGTACTCCAGTCACTACATGTACAACTGATACGCCTTGTCCCTGGTGGTTGACACTGGCTGCATTACAACTGTAAACATTAGAATAAGAGTACATGACTGCAACTCAAAGCTATAACAATAAGCAGGGCAAATAGGGAACTGCGCAGTTCTGCATCTGCATAGCGACAATGAAGATGTCCCTGCGACTAAAAGGCACAGACCATTAGAAAATGAGCCCCCTTTTCCAGATAATATCCTAAATCAGCTCAGCACTACTCCCGGGGTCTTGGAACTAGCTGTGAAGATGTCAACAGCCACATCTTCACAGATCTAACTGAAAACATTATAAATAGTTAGATCCTGTAGATAGATCCTGTATATATGAACTAAAGTTGGCCAGTGGCCATTATTTAAAAATGTAGAAAGAATAGCTTCCTTCCCTCACTCCAGAAGTTCACAGCTAGGCTGTTTTTACATGTGTACCTAAAGTTTCTAGGAAAATAAATACTCTATCTCAAGAAGATTTAAAGTTCATTTATTGGTCACGATTGTTATTTTAATGGAATTTTTCAATTCATATATGGTTTTCAATTACACTTTGTAGTGGATTAATCATGATTACTAAATACATTTTAATTGTGGAACACTGGATTAATTATAGTTACTTATTGCATTATAATTGTAGAATAGTGAGTTTCTTTAGACCAACACCAGTGTAGTGATCATATAAATGTGTGGAGTCTCCAATAGGACAGGCAGTTTAAAGCCGTTTGTGAACATGGAGGCTGGTGTGGCATTTTGGGCAGCTGTGATGAGCATCCTGACAGATGTCCATACAGAATGGGATCAGACAGCATCCAAACACGAAGCTGACAATTAAAAGATAGAAACAAACTTGACTGGAACACTCCTAGCAAGCAGACATATCTCAATAAAATGTTTGATATTTTTATTATTTACCCTGTATGCCTATATATCTGATTTCAGTGTTTTAAAAGTTTCAGTTATGCATTCATTGTTGCATGTGAATATCCAATCCTCATTCTTTCTCACCAAATATCACAGTCTGGTTTGTTAGACAATCAGAAACCAAGAAACCAAAACAAATGCAAATTAACCTGCTAATAATGTTTTACGTTTTGTTGATCTGAGGGTTAATCACACTATAGAAGTTCCAAATTCCAAGCAAAAAATGCAGATTTGTATAACTTACCCAAATAAGATGAGCGTTAAACATACCACCCATGTAAGAGCCCCAGGCTTATAAATCACATTAGTTGTGACTCTCTCCCTACAATTGGTGCAGGTTGTTAAGCAAGGTTCTGCACCCAGATTCCCACTGGATATGATAGGTTGCTGATCTGTGAAGGAAACAATAAATTTAAATAAAACATCGAATAATATCACCTGAAAAAATATATTTTTAAATAATATTAGGCAACTTACTGACAACGTATTGAGGCTGTTGGAATTGAGCCTGTTGAACTTGAACCTGTTGGAACTGAGGCTGCTGAACTTGAACTGGTTGGAACTGAGGCTGTTGGAATTGAACCTGGTTCATTTGAGGTTGAGGGAAGGCTTGAACCTGCGGCATATACCGAGGCTCGGAGAGGCTTTCAGATTTAGGCTTAGATTCTGGTTGACTCGGAACACAGGTTACATTTACAGAGATGTTTCCTGCGTTCTGTTGTGAAGCCACATGAGCATCTTTGGAAACAGCTGTACCAAGAAAAAGAGCATAAAAGGAATGAGAAGCTTAATATTTCCTGCATCCAATCAGGGCGGTGCGAGCATGGAGTCCCAGGAAGCACAGGGCCAGTGGTGGGCAGGATTCTGCTAATCCGCTAATTACCAAAGCTAACTTTTTCAATAGCAGATTAGAATTTCCTCTACTTTTGAAAACCGCTATTGGACCAGTTAGCTTCTGTTAAATTTAGTTTTGCTAACATTAAATTAGCTAATATTTTAACAGTCAAAAATGCTTGTAAATCCTAAAAGCATACATATTTGTTCCTGTCTGTTGTGAGCATGTCTGTAACACTCTCTCTAACATGCTGTTGGCTGACTAGGTATAAACTAGTGCTGCCAAACTATTCAAATTTTTAATCAGATTAATCACATGGTTGCTGTGAATTAATTTAGATTAATCACAATTAAATATCATTAACTTTTAATCTATATTAATCGCATTCCATTTTGCATGAGCAAACAGACTCAAGAGAAATATATATGCACTTAACATGTTTATTGAACATTTTGAACACGAGTCGGATGCATTCCATCTGCCACAGAAGTTCAATACCATGGACCCATATCAAATGGAAATGGAACACAGCAAAACTGCCTGAAATGGGTTGACAGAGACATTTCAGGGATTTTGAGTCATTGTGCGCTGCAGATGGGTTAATTGTGTTAAAAAATTTTTTAGCAGACTAATCATGATGATGGATTAATCCGCGTTAACCCGTTAATTTTGACAGCCCAAGTATAAACCAAAAATGTGTTTGGTAGTCGCAGTAGCAGCTGTCCCTCTGCAGTTTAGTTGACTTATGATGTTACAGTCATAAAGTCTGATTAATACTTCTGTGTCGAATAACCGTGTACCCTATGTCGTAGCCTGATGTGCACCTTCCCAAAAATGTAACTACACATTGCGGTGATGCAGACTGCAACACCTGTGATTGGACTGTTTTATACAGTTACCTCATGTTAAAATGTGTGCACCTGATACAACTTGGGATGAACTTAGGATGCATTGTTTCTAACATCTTTGCATTGGTAAAATCCAATTTATTAATATATAATTACAGTATTATGACTATATAACATATAAACAAAACACTTACTGATTTGCAGTACTACAGGAACTTATACATTAAGTAAAAATAGCACTTTTTATTTCATTTTTTGGCTGTCTGCTGACAACCAAATAAAATCAAGCTACTGTATGTGTACCATATTGAATTTTTTAGCATCCTATTAATTAGCATTGCATTTCAATCATATTGCATTAAATCACATTGTGTCAAATCGCACTGCTTCACAATTAGGGTGAACCACTGCACATGTATAAATGCTCGCAACAGTGTAGGCCATTCATAGGCTATATCGTAAGTTCTGTATAGGCTCGCAGCAATTGTTTAAATCAGCCTTAACAGTATCAGCGGCAGTGTATGTTATTGTAAGCAGATTTTCATCAGTTTACTGAGTCTAAAAGTTTACTGTAGATAAATGGTATGTAGATTGTTAACTGTAAGGTAATGTTTAATTTCATTTGTTCATTTAGTTATTTGTGTATACCTTGATCTTGATTTGATCCTGGCATGCTGTACTTTTTTGGAAAACTCTATGTCACTAGTGACACCTACTGGTGAATAGAGTGTTGGCAAAAATGGGGCTTCTGAGAAATGCAGCACAACCTTGACAGTCGAAACTCATAACTCAACTTGGAAGTTGAATGGGTCTGTCGATTTTTTTTCGACTTGTACCTCAACCAAAATCTTGTAACTCGACTGTTCCTGTGAAAACTGGTTTGGGTTGAGGCCCGTTCAACTCTACCAATTCGTACCTTGAACGTGTTGGTCCGAATAAAATTTATTTAAATGATTATTTATGGAGAAATTTGACTTGGACCTTGAAGAAATCGCAACTGGACCAGCCTACTGGAACGAATTAAGTTTGTTTTCCAGGGTACTGCGCGTTGCTATCGGCAGAGAAAATTTAAACTGATTCAGAAAAAATTTTGGTCCTACAGATCTTTCAAACCACTGCTTCACAAAAAGTTCTAGTGGTCAAATAGTGCTCCATGTGCACTGTCTTGGAGAAACATGCAAAAAGAGAATGCATGTACTATAAGTAAAGGCATGTCCAACAACCACTGATTTAATGCCACTGGGTTATTTAATTGTCTCATGTCATAAGCCTACAGTGACATTGACAACATAATTTTTTATTGTTCTTATAATTTTATACTTTTATAAAAATGATGGTGTGTCAAATATTTTTAAGAAAAACAATCTGTTCCACTATGCTCTGATGTTTATGTAAATAAGTGCTGTCTAGTGATGGCCAAATGAAGCTTCATGAACCATTTCCTGTATTTTCTGGCACCAGGGGATGGTGATCAAAGTAAACCAAGAGCACCAACTAGTGGTGTCAGAAAATATAGCAAATGGTTCATGAAGCTTCATCTGGCCACCACTAGTGCTATCCAGTTATTAAGGCATAAGACTTAAAGGGCTTTACCATCTGCACAGAAATAAGATGACAAGAAGACAAAATTCCTCATGACTTTTCAGGATTGCCCTACTCACTCATGATCCTTCACACCTAAGCCTGGCCAATCTGGCAACATTCAATGTGAAAGATATGCAAATGAGCAGAAATCCACCCGCAGGTGCTGTCCTGCCCGCCTCGAGCAGAACATCCATCCAGCCATGCCAAGTCAGTCCCTGTTCCATCTAATCTGAATACTATGCAAACCTGTAGCTCATTAAACTGGTTAATTAAACCGTAGTCTGTGAGTAAGCTCCCCACCTGCCTTTGCGTCACTGTAAATATTTTCAGAGCATTATTTCCAGATTTCCAGATTAGATTACTTAGGAATTTAATCAGCTTTGTGAACATTTTGTTTTCATAGTTTAAATGCTTTCGTTTCTTTTTAACTTAAATGCCTTTTTTTGCTTTTTGTTAAATTTTACCTTTTCTCATGCCACATTTTCTCCCGGATTTGTATTATGCAGTTTCATTTTGTTTTTGTTTTTTTCCGAATGTGCTTGTATGTTTTTTTTTTTGGTAATAGTATTTGGCTGATACTGCCCACCAGAACAGCCACAGAAGAAAAATACAAACTATCTTCATTTGAATTTCAGTGCAGCCTCTTGACATACCTGCTGCTGTGACGACTAACTCATGAGGATTTGTACAGTATCGGGAATGTTCACTTAGTCAGAGAGTCATAATGAAGACAGGGAAACGGCATAAAGCGTAACACAGCGTACCTGATTGCATGGCAGCTGGCTTTTCGTAAGGTGGTGGTGGTGGAAATGTATTGGCAGGAATATCCATCTTCAGAGCTAAAAGTAAGAAGTTTTATTTAGAAAGGTCAAAAGGGAAGAACTTCAGCTGAGACATCATATTATTCAGTATAATCTTCATCACTCATAGGAGTATCTGGAATCTCATCATCCACGTTAAAATGAAAAAGCATTGTAGTAAGCAATAATAATTGGTGATAAAAGATTATGGGAGACCTTTCCTAGTTTGAGTGATCTCCAAACAGCATACATACAGGTTTTAGTACTGCGTACTCAATAGGCAAAATTACTAAAACAACCAAAAGTGACTATTTGCAGAAATATGTATCTAAAAACAGGAAAGAACATGACAGTCATAAATAATACCAAACTTAGTCATAACTAAGTCTAAGTAGATTTTGAGGTTTCCGGTAAAAATACAGTCAATAAGTGGAAAAAGAAATTCTAAAAATAAATGTATAGAGCAGATCATAACATGTTGATGTTTTAACAAAGTCAGATGCATTTCAGTTTAACAGTTCAGTTGTTTTATAATGTATAAAATGCTACTTTTTAGAATTTAAGTGCTAAATTTGAAATGTTCTGGCTACAGTAATGGCACAACTCTTACCTGGTAAGGAGGAGTGATAGACATAGAGTGACAAATGGAGAGACTGTTCTCCATTTGTCTGTAGAAATCTGAAGAAATCCAGCTAAACCACATAATAGAGATAATAACCTGATGATAATTTTACTTCCTTGTAGTTACAGTAAACAGGATTTGGCTAGATTTTCTTCAGCTGTCCAATTTTCCTGCAATTTCAGGTGAGCTGGATTAGCCTGCAGTACAGAACATGACATATAAAAAAACAAGTGTTTCTGAAACAGCAGTTAACATGTTTAGCAAGCATGTGTAGGTGGGGGTGGGGGGGGGGGGGGCTGGGGATGGCTTGGTTCCTCTATCGCGGGGGAGAGGGTGCAATCATGTGGCTGTATACACAACTCATCATGTGGCTGTAACCGACAACTGTACACATCATTAATGTCATGGTGGTCATGACATTCACGACTTACATCTCTGTGGCAAATAAATGAAGTTAGCTATGTGTAGTTGCTTGTGCAAGTATAAGAAGGCAACTGAATTGTTTCTGTAGTGTTGTCCCACAGACATATGTTGCACTAACCTAAAACAGTCAAAATAAATCACGCACTTGTTTGCTTGGGTAGTAGAAGGTAAGGAGCACGCGCTGATACAGCATATTGCCACAATCACCACACAACAAACCACCTCAGGGATGAGAACCCAAGTGCAGCCAGGCAATGCCTCAGCACCACACTAGTTCAAATGGCTAGAGTGTAAATCCTACCACCAACCTCCAAGTTTTCCTTGAAAGTTTTCCTATTTGCAGGGCTGGACATAGATTAACATCATACTCAGGACAAAGCAGCTGCATTATAATACTTTATAAATGCATTGCAACGCATTAGAAGGTATATATAATGCATTATGCTGATTGCTTTAAATGTTACCAAAATTTTCATTTTCATATACACACATATCGTCAAGTGTTTTTAGCCGTAAAGTACCTGTACATCCTCTCTTTTAACGTTCGGTTAAATCTCTCTACGACGGAAGCTTTAAGTTCACTACCCGTGGTGAAATGGGTGATTTTATGACTTTTTAAAAGTTTCTGAAAAGTCCGATTTAAAAACTCGTCACCGGCATCCGTCTTTAACTTTAAAACAGAATCAAAGGCCTCCGTTACAGCCACCCCCATCTTGTTTCTTAACGTACGCACGTAGGCCTTTTTGGAAAAAACATCAATCACCGTAAGGAGGTATTTTAACCCGTCGTTGTACGTCGCCAGCCCTTGCATGTTGCATAAATCGGCCTGCCACTGATACATGGCTCTCGGTACAAACACTCTGTTCCTGGGGAAATTCTTTTTAGCCGGCTTATGTAAAGTATAACTGTCCTGCGTAGACAGCCACTCTCTGATATCATCGGTAGCCATTTTTTTCCCCATATCTTCCTCCACGGCTCTCTGCAGTCCGGAAGCACGCCCATATGACCCCGGGTGGCTTGGGTCATAGTATGTACTGTACGGCTCAAGACACGAGCTGTAGTCTTGGCAACAGACATGCTTTTCACACAATGAGTGGGGGGATAAGAGCAAAGATGCTGTGTTTTATCTTCGTGACCTTTGACCTGACCTGTCATTTTGACGAATTTGACCCTTTGATCTTTATGACCTTTGACCCGACCTGTCATTTTGACAAATTTGACCCCTTTGATCTTTGTGACCTTTGACCCGACCTGTCAGTTTGACGAAAGCGGCATGCCTTCTCTCTCTCTTCCATCCATCCATCCATCCATCCATTTTCTGCCACTAATCTTGGGTTGGGTCATGGGGGCAGCAGGGATAAGTTAAACCATTAAACAAATATTAAGGTGTGTGCCATTCTCATGAGCTTCAGAGGTAAAATGAACAATCTACACAATGAAATTGTAGAATTTTAGAATGTCTAAAAATTTATTTACA